CGATATGGTAACAACGTCAAGAGTAATATTATGATGCCATTCCATTTCGAAACTGTTGATATTTCATTATTGCTGTTATGATCCTAATGTGACATAAGAAGATATGGCACATGAAATATTTAAACCCTTTACAATTGAAACATTTTCATACCATGTAGAATATTATGATTCCAATGTAGGAAAATGGGCACATCAAATTTGAACTCTTTGCAATCGAGACATTTTTATACCACATGCGGAATGGGGATATTAATCATTCATTTATTACCATTCGTTTACGATATTCGTTACGATATTAGTGAATAAATAGTAATTTATTACTATTTATTCATTAATTTATTACTATTAATTTATTATTAATTAATTACTATTGAGTTGTAACAAATTTATTATGCGATTTATTATTATATATGTTTATTAACTTTAGCAATACAGCCAGAAAGTGGACTTGGTTTACAATCAATCCTTAATCTCTCATACTTGCATTCAATCCACGCATACACAAATATCCAAAATCCTATTATAAATTATACCATTATATCTTATTGCACTATCTCCTAGCCTCACAGCCTATCTCACAGCCTATTGACATTCTATATCTATCTTCTTTTTCTTTCGCATTCCTTTCCCTAACAACTTTCAACAATACCTCCGCTTTGGTGGTGTCCAATTTATCATTCCAAAGTTTTTCCAACCTTTCTTTACTATCCTTTCCTAATACTGTAAACCATTCCTTTGTCTTAACTTATGCGATTTATTATTCAGTATATAGTAAGGCATTCCGTTTTAAAGCACGCTAATATTTCGTGCTATCGATGCGAGATAGGCGTAATCGCAATTGAAATTCTTATGTATCGAGCGTGCGAGGAGCGCGCCGTATCAACTATAACGGCGTTCGCCAAGTTAATTGCACGGGGACGAGATTTCAGGGTGCCTCCTGACAGTCCTGACGGCGGTCGGAAGGGTGGCGCAGGCGCGAGTTCCTTCGAGAGGCAAACCGACGTGGTTCGGCGGCGATTTACCGGGAGGAAAGACCGAAGTTTCCTCAGTGGTTCCGCGCGCGCCGAGTACTCACGATCGCCGCGAGCTTCCGCAGGATGTGCCCGCGCGAAACTTCGGCAGATCCCTCGACAAGTTGTCGCGCAACGATAGCGAACGACGTGACGAGATCGCTCGATGTATCAACGTGATTAATTACAGCGCTAAATTAACAGAAATTCCACAAAGCGAGCACCGTTCGCTTAATCGGTTTCGTGATTCCATTCACACGGGTATCGAGAGTAATTTATTTGTAATTATTGCCCTCGACACTAAATATCGCTTTGGACTTCACTGTAATTCCGTTAGGCATTAGTTGGATATTAATTTGCGGACGATTAATCGACGATGAATTATGAAACGGGCCTCGTAGATCGAGCGTGCTCGATATTCCCGTTCAGAAGTTTCACAGCCCGGTACGCGATTTAAATAGAGAATGCTTTTTTTTCTACCGATGCATTTTGACAGTTAAATACTTTCAGATTTCGAGTCGAACGAATTCTGTGACTTTCGTCGCACAGCTCGAAATGAATTTATGTCTCGAAATTTTCAAGGACTGATTCAGAGAAAAAAATTAATATTCAACAAATAAAAAAGGGGCATTGAGCCATTTAATATTAATAATATTATTAATATTTAACTTTCACGAGAGAGAAAACGTTTATTTATTTCATTAAATTTACTTAATTAAGGAAAAAAAGTCAGCTTGTAGAAAAATATATATTTTACTTTTCGTAAAACGTGTTTCTTGCAGAGTGTATAAAACGTTGCGTGCGGATCTTTCCTCTCGAGTCAGGCTCTCGAAGAGGATGCCTATTCATTAATCGTAAACGCGAAGACTTTCCTCGCCTGACTTTTTCGCGTATGCAAACCGGTGGAACGAGATGCTCACCGGCGTGCAACGGGAAAGCCGTTGAACGCGAGCATTCGCGGCAGCCCCGCGATGTTTCGGGAACGATGATAAAGACCCCGAAGTAGCGAGACTCCGCGGCTGTTTAGCGGCGAGCATTTCCGGGACCCGGCGAGCACCCGATCGATACCTTTATCGGGATCGCCGCCGAGGCCGGTCTAAGAGGTGTTGAGAGTGTGTCGGAGAGGGAAAAAAAACATGCAGCTACTTTCCAGCTTCATGGATCGGCACACGAAGCGAGGAGCCTCCTTGAAAAAAGGTACGTCGCGTCGCGGATGAGCGCGCCGGCTCCGATGCCACGTGACGTTTAATTAGCTTTAATCAATCCGACGCCGGGAGACGAGAACACGTGCGCGAAAATTTCACGCGGGATTTCTCACGCGGTGAAGAGACGAGCCGCGAGATTCGAGCGGCCGAGACGGACGTCGCACCCGAATTCAAGAAGTTCTCATCCGATTCCTTCGAAGAGGTCACGGAGGACGGGCGACTCCGAATTTTACCTCAGCGATAGATAAACGTATCGGTAATTTACTAAACGCGCGCAAGGATAGATCCATGCATGAATTCATCCGTACACGCTTGGTTAACTCCTCGCTCCTGGTAAACACGAAGGGATTAACTTCTGAATCATGCGGGATGCGCTATAATTAATGAAATATATTGTGTCGTATGTGGAAGTAATATGAAGTAATATATGAGGTTATTTATCAGGATTTTTTTTTAATTGGCGCAGCAGCTTATTCCATTCTCTCGCGACTTAACTCTCGACGTGATGCCTCTTTCGCAGGTGATCCGCATCGCGCAGCATCGAGCGGTAAAATGCCACTTACGGTCAGTTTCCGTCAGCGACGTGACGACGTCGTCCGCGCTGTACAAGTCAACGGCGAGTAAAACGCTTCGTACGAGATCGTGGAGCGTTTCTCACGTGCGCCGCACACGAAACTATGTAGAACGCAACGATGGAATATTAAGGCGAAGTGGGGGGTGGGCGCATGTGATCTAATAACTTATTTGATCGATACCCTCGGAAATGCCTTCGCGTAGCGTCAGCGCGGAGCCGTTCACGGCTCACGCGATGTGGGATGCTACGTGACCAGTTTTGTACGGTACGACGATCATCGGGAGCAACGAAATTGCTTTTCGTCGAGAGACCCATCTCGGTAAACCACGTGGTTGTCTTGGCGAGGCACCTGATTTCCGCGTCTTCGAAACACCCGAAGGCGTCACGGACTGAATATGCGAAATGCGTTAGGTCACCGATTAACGCGTAAGAAAATTCATAACTTTGAGTTCCTCTATACGTGCGCTTCAATTTCTAAATATAAGTTTTACACGACGCGCGGGACTTATGTTTAGTTTATCGATTTTTATTCGTCAACCGTGGTGGCGCCGCTCCGCTTTTTCTTCCCGCGACACGCGCCGCAACGATTAACACGTAGCGCAACGCTATAATACCGCATTCGAAATGCGAAGCGTGATTCGCCAAATTCAATCTGCGGAAGTAATTACTCTCTTGGCACAGCCGTACGCGACGTCGACCGCGTGAAAGGTTGCAAACGCTAATTCCACCCCACATGCGCCTCCATAATGTCAAGGTCGCATCCTGAATTATCGCCCTCATCCTCGAGCTTGATTCGCCATGGAATCAGTGTGTTACAACTATGTAATACCCTGCGACTGGCTAACTTTGATGTCGCGTAAATAACTTTATCGATTAGAATTTCGATAAGAGTCGGTTTTTAAATAGGCAAAAAAAACAACAAGAGCACTTTTTCTAAGCGAGATCTGATCGAAGTTCCTTTTTATAACGAATCAGGCCAATATGAGCCTGTAAGCGCGGATGTTCGCGCGATATCGCAGTGATTTTAATTATCTTTCAATCGAAGCTATTCTCGACCTCTAATCGAATACTTTTCAACCAATGACCAAACGCGAACATTGTTGTTTTTGTAATTGAGCAAAGTATTAACCAACTTTCCGGTCTAGCATGTTTCAAAGATATATTCAGAATTTTATCAAACGTTCCATAAATACAAGGTGTACTTATGAAGTCAGTCAATATAGAGACACGAGTCAAAGTGCCAAGTAGAAACGATCATTAACCGAGACAGTTAGCTTAACAAATGGCTGGGAGATATCCGTGGGATATGTCACGCGAGTGTATCGGAGTGCATTCCTCCGCAGTAATAACTCTTATTCGTGACATTTGTCCTCGCTCTTTTACCGGCGCGCTGATTGATATGCACTGCAATACAGAGAGTTGCAAATTTATTATAGACTGCAGACTCGCGTTTCTCGCTTGAATCAAATAAAGCTCGATTAACTCTTAGGCAATACATGATTTAAAAGAAAGGCAACAAGAAGAAGGATAACAAAAAAAAAAATGTAAAAAATCTATGCTTTGCTATAATAATAAAATATAAAAAGCAAAAATTTTATAAAGCAGTAAGATTCTAATTATTCCCTTTTTAATTGAAAATTTTACTAAGCTTGTTTTAAATCACATAAATAATATCGAAAGTTTAACAAATTTATGGCAATATTAATGCTTTAGCAATCAAAAATTAAAAAAAAAATTTGATTTAATATTGTATTTAAAAAAGAAATAATTGATTTATTATTATAATTATTAGATAATTATAATAATTAATCTAAATTGATCTAAAATATATATAGGTAAATTACATATATATATATATATATATATTTTAGATCAATTATTTAGAGATTAATTATTATTATATATATATTATTTTATATATTATTTTCCATAATATATATATATATATATATTATGGAAACGCATATTCGATATATAATTACATAATCACTCACGCAACATCTTATCTCTTTTATACTATACGTATATAATAATTGTCCAAGTTATATTTAGTTGTGTATGAGAATTTAAATAATAAAAGAGAAGTGTGTTGTACTCCACAATTTAAAAGGACTGCTTGAAATATAATTTCATACTTGCAATTATATTTAAAACTCCTTATAAAAGATAAATTATATTTCAAGACTATTGAAGAGTCTAGCAAATATTGAATATCCGTGCTCAAAGAATCCTTCCATTTAAATAATCAAAATCCTTTAATTAGAAATTATTAGTAGAAATTTAAACATTACTAGAAATTGAAGACTCGCATTCTCCCCATGTATGTCACGCTAAATGTGGTCGTTTAATTCTCACTTTATCTCGACTGCATCCTCTAAACTGAGTTTAAATCCTCCCTAGATATTACACATCATATATATCTTTATAACATTATGTACATATATGTATATCCTCTTCTTCAGGAAAGCACGAATCCATCGGAGGCGGGAGTCCTTTTGGTAGTTGGCCGTATTCAACGGGGGGTCCGATCAGACCCCTTTGCAGTAACGTTGGCGGCGGCGGTGCGGCGGGGGGCACCAACATGACACCCGACGACCCCGCGCCCGACGAAGAATTCGCCCTCGCCGTCGCGCAAAAAGCACAGGTACGGCTGTTTATCATCGGCTTTTTGCTCGGTCGAGCCGAATAATAAATTCTTGATAGCGCAACAACCGAGAGTACACGTGTGCCGTACTCTCATATGTCGAGTCATTACACGCCGATCAGGAAATAAGCCACTTTTTCATAGACTTCACACTTCTTCTTCTTGTAAGTCGTTCACTTCAATTCATTAGCGTGTAAATGGGGCACTGAAGAAAAAGATTTATTTTCCTGATTTTCAATTCGTTAAAAAGTTACGCTAGGTATAATTGTTTAATTAGCGAAGAGAAACACCATGGAGATCAAATTAGGCTACTGGGCTGAAGATGATTGAAAGATCGAATTATAGACCCACGTTACATAGAATATGCAAAGTGATCATGAAATATTGAAATCCGATGAAGAGCTCGTCGATGAAAATTGGAGCACGCGCTTCTCGCGCTCCGAAGCTACAATAGTGTTATTAAATCGTGCGAAGTATACACCGGGTACGTAGTGAGACAAGCTCAAATACCTATTTCTCGCGTGAAACGCTTCTCGAGAGTGCGAGCACGTATATACGTGTATAGCTTCAATGCGCTCCGTGTCCGCGTGTCCCCGTGTGCGTGACGGGGTTATTTTTCCAAAGGAGCCCACGCGAGTTGAATCGTCAATTCCGTAAAAGCGGCTGGGCACAATGCTCCGTGAAGAAGAGAAGAGCCGTGACGATCTGGCGACGGGTGTTCGCGATGCACGCCTCGTGCGCATCGTTGAACGTTCAGTGACGTTGCCGGCCGCGTTGTGGCTATTGTTGTCGAACTCAACGATTTTTTACGTTCGCCTCTGCGGTTTTAAGCCTCGAAGTCGACCTATTTAAGCTTCGACTGGCTACGTGGGAACGTTTAAAACAGCACGAAGACGTGCATTCAGCTTTGATCTCGATTATGATTCAATTTTGAATGATTTACCGATTTATCTAATTTGGGTTTTCAATTTAGTGGAGCATCTGTAATGGAAATTAAAATGATTTGAAATTGATGATATTGCAGAGCATGGAGCAAAACAGGTTTCACAAACAGAATTAGCCAAAGCGATACGTATGGACGAAGTTATTTTGTATTTTTGATGAGTAAAATATACGATTAATTAGGGAAATTTATGTAAAAATTGTAATTGTAGAGTAATTTAAAGTGTATCTCTACCTATCAAATTAGCAGTAATTTGTTAACTTTGTAGTTTCATTGCTTGTTTTTCGTGTCGATCAAATTGAATTTTAAGGAGAAGAAACTTCTTCTACAGACCGTGTCTGAAACTGTTTAAATATTCTTTGCATGCTACATAATAAAAACTGTGCGGTATTATATAGAGTTATATATATCCCGAGATTGTTGGTTTTAATTTACATAAACTTTTAATAACACTTTTTATTAGGCAATCAAGATCCAGTTCTGAACATAAATGGCTTTTTCTCTAATTTGATTGCATATCGGTCCTGTTCCACTTATTATTGTTAATAAGTACATTTTACTTCAAAGCTCATTTTTTTTTCAAAAAATTTTGCTCGTATATGTCGAAATAAAATTCCAAAAGAGCAAAATTTGTTTAAGCGAACGATCGATCTTTATTTATTTAAATGTAGCCTAAAAATTAAAAATAATATTGCAGCATAAAATTTGCAGCTTGGAAGATATTACTTGCGCTTAGGTATTTTAGTTAAAAAAAAAAATCGATTTCATATTAGGCAAAGGATGAATAATTAAAGTCAAAGCACCTCGTGTACGAGTACTGACTTATTATTCGACGTCTAAATTTATGAATGCAGAACTGAAATTATTATCTGCGTGGGAAGTCACTGAAGTAATGCTTTCCGGCATGTGGAACTCGTGGGATTTCTCGAGCGATCTTTATCTCGCACTCTTGTCTTAGCTACACTGCCAAGAGTAATTAGCACTCCGCTTAAAAGGCAAAGTCCTTCGAGATCAATTTCGCACACGTGCTGTATTCGAAAGAAGCCGGTCGTTTGAAAAACTCTTTTCAGATTTAAAGATTCACCAGATCGTATAGTACTCATTTCACTACAATCTAATTAACACGAAAAAAAGTTCTTACAAAGCGCATTTTTTAAAGACAAGATATATAATTTATAAAATTTTGATATATTTTGAATTGTTTTTCGCAGAATGACACGGAATTTTCTTTAATTAAAATCTACGTAAATGCGACAAGCTATGACGCAAGACTGAACTATTTCGCCGATAAATAACATTTGCTTTGTTGCAATCTCTGTAAACAAAGAAAATGTAGCTCTTGAAACGCGAAGTTCCATTAAAGCTCGTTCGGGGACCAGCGTCCATATACGACTTCACTACGCTTCTCTTACCATTGGACAACTTTCCAATTAATGAAACGTTCTTGATGGAACGGGTCGAATTACTATTGCGTAAGGTTGCGCGTAGCGAACGAGTACGCGCGCACCTTTCGACCTCGAGACGAGAACGGGAGGTGCGTGGAGACCGTGGAGACCTCATCTCTCTCGCATTAATATCGCTCTACTTAATTTTAAGAACGGCGCGCACTTTACTTCGCAGACGCAGAATGAACTGCCCGAGAAAAATCTTGCCCTCTTGAATCTTGCTTCAAAGTTTGTACGTGACGAATTAAAAGTTCTGACTCTTTAATTGCTTAACGGACTATTAAAAAATTATTAGAGCATATTCGAAAGATTTTATTTTTCAGACTACCTTAAAGTGAACAGTTTCTTAACGAAAATATCTCTTTTTTTGGATATTCGGTACGTCTTTTCGCGCAGCAATTTGAATATTCAGCAGCAACTTGCATCGTCTCCTGCTATTTTTATCTGAAGAGAGATATGTATAAAATTCCATATAAGATTGTAAAACTTTCTTGCGCTTATAATTTATTATTTAACCACCGGGGTTAATGACGTTTTTCGATGACGTCAGAGAGACTTCTTCGGCGTTGCACGCGACGTCGCGTGTGAGCACGTGGGGATCATGTCCTACATCCTAGCAAGACGAAGGTACGACTTCTTGGACGACTTGGTGTCGCGTGACGTCGCTTTCATTTCGCGGGCCCGGGGACGAAAAGATTTTCCGAGAATATTCTGAAATTGCGATATGTACGGTCGTACGATCTTATACCGTCCCTCGCGGGGTAAATTGCTGTTAATGATACGCTGCGAGTGAACGTACGAGCGGACTGTCATTGCGGGGTTGTTTTGTATCGCTAATATTCCTTTATGCTTCTTTACGTCGGGCACGGCAAGGTTGCGCATAATGCACCGGGCACACACCATCTGCCTGGTATTCAGTTTCACGTACAATAAATTTTGAGAAATAAGAAGTGAGGAAATCGTATTTTTAAAATCGCACGGATTATCGCGTAACTGTAATAATAAAGTAAAAATAACTGAGAAAGTTAAGGAAGGAAAAAACTTCGTTAATATTTGAAAATATACCGAGAAATGATTATGATGAAAGATTGATTATTTTATTCAAATTTATATTTATTTTTAGGATATAGTTCTTCTCTCGTTTTGGTTCTGATATTTTTAAATTTTGTCAGTCTTTTAATTTTAAATATATTCTCTACAATATGAAATTACAAAGAAAATTAATTTGATTAAGATCATTAAAAAAAAGGGAAACCTGACAATATTAAATTAAAATATAGAAGAGAGTTAATATAATTAAAAAATATAGAGTAATATACTTCAAGCTAGGTAGAGTTTAATTGAAGATATTTTTCAGTTAATTAAATACGAGATATTAGTGGCGGTATAATAAATGAGAGTGGATGGTTCTCCGTAGCATTCTAATTAAATCTTAAATCAAATGTTTCCGTCTTACGTAATCTACCAAGAACGAATTACCTTATAAACACAGATAGATGACGTAATCTACATTGACCTGGCAGTTTTTAACCCTATTCGCTCCAACCATGCCTTTCGTGTCCCACGAATTTCTAACAGTCGTTTGTTCCGAAAAACAAATGATCGTGGGAGAATCCCCTCCACGCCGGAAAAAAGTTATTGTGGCAGGAAACCTCAGGTAAAAATGTCAAAGTCCTAGCTCATTTACTCTCGAAACGGGGAACAATCAAAATCTCGGTGGGGCATGAAAGTGCATGGTTGGAGGATTACGTCAGTGTTGTGTGAAAGGTAAATGAGCATTTTTTTCGATAAAAATGTATTTTTGTGTATAATTTAACCGTATTTAAAATATTTTTATCGTTAAAAAAGAAATTTAACATTCCACAGAGGTCTATTATGGCTCAGAGGCAGGTGGAAGAGGTGGGGAGGAGCTACGATTATATAAAAAAAATTAATTTTTTTACATAAAAATTATCTGTCACACTTCAAATTCGCCTTTTCTTATTCAGAAATTCTTTTTTTAGCATTCTTTAAGTCCTTAAAGTCCTTCTGTACCATTTAAAAATTACCAAATTTGCGGCGACGAAATTAAGTATTCCTATTTAATTAATAATTATCTCATATTTTTTTTCTCATTTGCACTACTTTTAGCTTTAATTTGCGTTTTGGTTCATTAAGCTTCGTCAATTTGTTCGTGAGTTATGATTTTTTAAGTAAAACGAGTCGTAACGTGTGTTTGTCAACATATAATTGTTGTAAAAAAATATTTAAATAAATGATTTTCAAATGTTCTTTACATTGATTTTTAGTCGAAGGTACAAAGATATTATAATAATTTTTGGGGAATTTTTCAAAGCTATTAACATTATAAAAAACACGTGGGACTCGAAAATGTTGGAGGATTATTGGGGCGAAAAAAACGTTGGAGTGAATAGGGTTAATATTGATGTTAATGCGGTACTCCGAGCGCATTATGCGGCTCGATTACCGCCGGATTGAGTCGCACGTGTGACGCGAGGATGTAAGATACGAGGAGCCCTCGAATTTATTTGATACATGCAAATGCATGCGCATGAAACCCACCGGATGAAATATCCCTTTGCAGAGAGATGCAGAGGCAATCCGCACCGCACTGTATTTCGGAGTGGTACTCGCGATCACCTGGATGATAGGAGCGGCGGGTCTGTCCCTGGCGTGGCTGGTTCTGATCCTGGCACTGGCAGCGACCGTCGTTAAGGCGAGGTACTCCCGGCTCCTTCAGATGGAATTGCACCACGAGCTGGCCAGGTTACGCAGAAGACGGGCCCTGTACAAAGACGAGACCGCCGAGTGGCTCAGTCTGTTGATCAACAAGTGGCAAGTACCGTTTGCAGCAGTTATCGATGAAGCTAATCGCGGGAGAGAAAGAAGAGTGCGCCGTGTGCCACCTGGTACACGCCAATGCGGTCGTTACATTAATTAAGTGGAGATTTTGAAGAAAATCTTTTTGCTCTTTGTTTATTTATCGCGGCGTTTTATCGCGATTTGCTTGCGAAAACGAAAAAGTCGATTATTACAAGGTAACTTTATATTATGTCGATAATCGCTTTTGTTAACGAGTACAGATTTTTCTTAACAACAGCGAAATTGTCGTACAAGATTGACGGCAACCGCGTACAACGCGTTGACAATTAATAAAAATCTAATAGAAAGGAGAACGTCTGCGTCTGGAGAAGTTTATGTATCGTCTAACGTAGCGATTACGTCCATTATTACTGTATATCTCGTGACCCGGGAGCCTCATTCTTCCGTATAGCTGTGATTCGCGGTAATAACGCTATTGTAATGTCAGCGCGGTATATAATACGTATACCGCGATTGTCCTCGCATCGAACGGGTGAATGAACTCCTCGTTCGGGAACGAGTACTACATACGCATTTGTAAATATACCGCATTCCTGACGCACGTGGTATAGATGTGGCCTTTCACGTTTCTGCTGCCCGTCCCGCGCGGATAAAATCCTTGCGGCTTGCCCCGTTGCCGCTGTCGACACGCGTCGAACCGAACGAGTCGAATCGACCGCGTTTAAATAAATCGCAAAATGCCATCAGGTCGTAAAGTTTGTGGTGAGCTCGCGGGATCTCAAAATAGTGTTGTTTTTTTAACAGATATGGAAAAAAATAGATAGTGTGCAATTAAACCTTTCTTGGAATTAAAACTAATCAAAACGTGGATCTCTCTCTGTTTATTGTATGGAATTAAAAACAACAGAAAATGTGTGTAAAAATTCTAGAATTAATTTCTAGTTGAAAAAATACGCGATTTAATTTCGAAAAGATTTATTAGATTAAGAAAAGAAAGTACGATCGCATCGACGCGTCCAAGGGATTTTCTTCACACACGCGATCTTTTCCTCGTTTATTGTCAACGGCTAAAAACGGCCGGTGCGGCAAGCGGCAATAGGCGCGTGGAAAGAGTGCTACTTATTTGGATAGTTGATAGACCTGTTCGAGCATTCCTGAACAGCCCCGGCCGCGGGTTTCTCACCGGCCAGCGGGAACATCTACATGCGGGGAAAAAGCGGTGAATTCAGCGCGACGCGCTACACACACACCGTACGCATTATAAAGAAAACGACGACGCAATCGCGCATGGCGCTTATTTGATCATATGCGAATGCAAGAAAACTACGATGACTTCGAAAAAATTTCTATGGAAAGGAACACTTTTAAAAAAATTCCGTGGTCTCTAAAAAGACCGGATAATAACTTGCGGGCAGACTCTAGTTCCAAGCACGATATTTTAATACCAATATGAAAGCAGTTTCTATTTATTTAAATTCTTCTCTCGGAAGAGACAGTGATATAAAAATTAAAGGTGCAATTAATAATTTTTTTGTAAAATTATGAGAAGTAGTATTTAATTGAAATAATAAATAATAGAAAACTTACTGATAATAGCAGAAGAAATAGTTTTAGAAATTTAATCCACTCATAAAATGTGTCGTGTAAGAGAAATATTTAACGAGAGAATTCTACACGATGAAACACCTGGAAGTGCCGGAATGATGGGACAGACAAGATGTTATCCAAGTACCCTAAAAAATGACAAGCGCGTGGGCAATCTGTTAATCTACTTGTCTGTCCTTTAATCTATTCACGAAACCCGCGTGGGTCGTCGAGTATTATGCGAATCGACTCGTTTATCGATGACGAAAATGAGATGTCGTTAACGATAAACTCTGAAAATAACTCGTCCGTTATGGCACCGAAACGTCTGTACGCGTTTTTCACGCTCGAAAGAGCGCTTCATCTGACATTAGATCTGGCCATTCATTTAATTAAACTGAATGTTTAATGAATTGTATCTCATATCACATTCCTCCTCGAGATATCTATCCGTAGAGATTTTCATGTAGATTTAAGACTGTCTGTGTCCGTGATAAAACGAAAACTAGTACTTGAATTAAAACCTTCCGATAAAACGCAGATTAATATTAGAGCTCTCGATTACGTATCGAATGTTATTTCTTCAGGTGGAGATTTAGCGCTGCCAGTATATTTTCCTTGGCGAAGGAACGATTGGAACCTCTTCTCAATGAAGCCAAACCCGGCATACTAGGTAAAAACACCCTTCGTATAAATACACGTTTCGCTCGCGACGAGAGAGAGAGAGAGAGAGAGAGAGAGAGAGAGAGAGAGAGAGAGAGACAGAGAGAGAGAGAGAGACAGAGAGAGAGAGAGATTGATTGATTGATTGATTGATTGAAGTTTATTAGCCTTCTCGGCTATTTTTTACATAAAATATCCTTAAATTAATTCCTCTACATGAGGTACAATATATTCTCTTAACCTACGTTTAAATGGTACAATTCTTTCGCATTGCTTAATTTCTAACGGTAGGGCGTTGTACATATTCAAACCTTCATAAAATAAACTTTTCTGTGCGCTTTTCGTCCTGCGATATTGAATTCTAATATTCTCAGCTTGTCTCGTTCGTCGTCCACTCACATCTCCTATACTATTTCTATCCTATTACTTAAGTGTTTTGGCATTATGCCTTTTACTATCTTAAAGATAAAAATACATACATTGTACATTAGCCTCTGTCTTACATTCATAAACTTAAGGGTTTGCAGCATCAAATCTACCTTTGTATATCGCGAGCACTGCAGTATGACTCTCATGGCACGGTTTTGTGCCACTTGCAGTCGATTCAGTTGCGTTTCACCCATGCCTACTAACATCGTTGCGCAATATTCAAAGTGAGGCGTTATGATAGACTTATACACAGTACATCGAGTGTACGCCGATATATCATTTCCTATTCTATTCAGAAAACTCACTTTTTTCCCTATTTTCTTTAACATATAATCACAGTGACTCTCCCAACGGAGTTTACTATCGATCATTACACCCAGATGTTTCGTTATCTCGACACGCTCAATTATAGTTCCATTCAAACTTTTTACTATTATGTCTGTTTTTATTTCTTTCCTTATACTTCTAACTATCATATATTTGGTCTTATCTGCATTCATTTTTAACATATTCACATTCATCCATTCTTCAAGTATACCGAGTACCATATTTAGTTTTATTTCTATTTCCTCACAACTTTCTCCTGTTAACAATTAAAGTAATTTAAATCGACCGTGACTGGCAATATATAACG